GACAAAAGTCAGTATAGTGTTAAACTATGTTAATAAATGTGTTTTTCAGAATTAGGATATTAATAGTATAAATGGTTTTGGATATTGACAAATATAGAGAAGGGTAGTTTTGATATAGGATCTTAAAGTCATGTCATTAAAAAAACTGTTGAAGTACCTGAAATATTTTATCTTGAGAAAGAGAATCTTCCTCTCTCTTCAGATACTTTCAAGGGTATATCATACAATAAGGCATACTTAATCTTTGTGATTCTAGTACACAGAGCTGGTTTATACAGAATTCTTTTTCTATCCTAACCCTCTCCAAGTTGCCTTTGCTAAATTATTCTTTAATAGTATTTCATCTGAGAAATTCTAAGGAATCATCATATGGAAATAGTTTTTGTAGTTACTAAATCTGTAGTTGGAGACATGTTCATAATTGGAAGTTATATGTGAAAAACTCTTTTAGACTTTAGTACCAGGAAAAATAGTTTTCTCTGGGTTTTGTTTCTTTTTGAAATGAAAAACAATTATTAATATTTTTTTGTAGAAACATCCTAGCAAAACATAGTAAATTGTATAACCAAGTATTTGTTTCTGCCTCTTTTTCCTGTTCCTGATTATTACAACATTTATTAAATAAATGACTTAGTAAGTAAGTAAACATTTTAAGTACTTTGGGTGGAAATTCTAAGATACAAGTTTAGTTTTACTACCAATTATTTATTAAGTATTAGAACTTACAAATTAAAGTAATTGTTTTGTGATAATTACTTTCCCATCAATGAAAGCATCCTAGTACATAAGCATATGTCAAACTGGGCAGATGTTAATGTTGTTTACAGAAATTCCTATAAAGGGATTGAACTAGAAAAGTTTTCAGGGTTATTGAAAAGTTATTTTTTTTTCTTTTTCTTTCTTTTTTTCTTTTTTAGTTGTTGATAGACCTTTATTTTATTTTTTTATACATGGTGCTGAGGATCGAACTCAGTGCCTCACACATGCCAGGCAAGTGAGCCACAGCTCCAACCCAAAAGGTTATTTTTCTATCATGTTTCAGCATATATTTAGGAGAGGTATTCCAGTTTACGAAGTAGTAAGGTTTAGCTAACCTGCTAACTAAAGTTCACTGTGAAAAATATCCAAGGGAAGTACATTGTAATAAATTTTTATTGAATAATTGCTAAATATATGATTAACTTTGTGTTAGAATCTGGGTATATTATCCCTTCCAAATTAAATTACAATAAAATGGATAGCCAAACAATTAAATTAATCACTATGTTATAACACTGTGCTCAAACAAATATTTTACATATGGTTAGTTAGTTCATATGATTTTTTTAGAGAGAGAGAGAGAGAATTTTAATATTTATTTTTTTTTAGTTCTCAGTGGACACAACATCTTTGTTTGTATGTGGTGCTGAGGATCGAACCTGGGCCACATGCATGCCAGGCGAGCGCGCTACGACTTGAGCCACATCCCCAGCCCCAGTTCATATGATTTTTAATAAGAGTTGACATTCATTAGGAGAAAAATGTTAACCCATTTTGTCCCAAGATTTCAATTTTATAGGTGTAGGACACCTATAAAAATTTAAACTTATCAACGAATATACCACTTAAGGTAACTTTGAAATAATATTTGAGTAATATGTTCATAGAATTGAAAACTTGGGACTTAAGGGGTAATAGGCGTGGCATGATGTGGAATTGAAGTACCAGATTTCAAAGCCAATATGCAGCTTTCTTGAGTTGTAACTCTTGTGTTTCTTTTCACATTCTTTTTAAAAATACTTTATTTTAGTTGTAGTTGGACATAATACCTTTATTTTATTTTTATGTAGTGCTGAGGATCGAACCCAGTGCCCTGCATGTGCTAGGTGAGCGCTCTACTGCTGAGCCACAACCCCAGCCCCCCTTTTTCACATTCTTTATCTTCCTTTGAACTTGCCATTGAGTGGAACTTATTCTCTCCAGTTGTATATTTGATAAAATCATGGTGAAATTCAGAATCCAGCAAAGGTCAATATTACTATGGCAAATTTGGGTTTAATTTTGTAGGACTAAATAGAAATGTACCACAATATTTTAAGTCTACTTAGTATCACTAAAAACTTGTTATTAGGAACAGCAATGTATTTCCAAATTGTGAACCCTCCAAAAAAAAAAAAGTTTTTTATCTTTTCAGAGTTTTTTGTTACCTACTTTTCACAGATATTTAGTAGGTGGCATTTTCATTTGGTTCAGCTTGATTTCAAATTAGGAATTAGGAACTGGCCATTTTAATTTATTAATACATTAGTTCATTCAGCATTAATTATGTCTATTACTTAACAAATCCTCTACTTGATTCTAGGACTGTGGAAATGATTGTCACTTGCTTTCCAGGAATAACAATCTAAAAAAGAAGAAGAAAAAAACTATGAACCAATAAGTGTAACATATTATAACATATGCACTGATAGTGGTAGGCATAAATGTATAACACACCTACTAAATTTAACTTAGTATCTCTCTTTGAATGCATACTATTCTTTCTTTTTCTTTCTTTTTTTTTAAGGTCCTTTTCCATGTGATATATGTGGACGTCAGTTCAATGACACTGGAAATTTGAAACGCCACATAGAATGTACTCATGGTGGAAAAAGAAAATGGACTTGCTTTATTTGTGGAAAATCAGTACGAGAAAGGTGAAGATTTATCTGCATACACAGACAAATTTTAGCACTTTTATGTAAAAAATAATTATTATGAATTTGGCTTATGAAGTGTAGAGTAACTCAAGACACAAAATACCTGAATACTGCTTTAGTTTAAAATATAAAGAAAAAAGAAGAAATTATATGAAATATTGTAGCTAATGATTTGGAGCTAGGATTTGTAGGTTTAGATGATTGATTTAACTTAACATTTCATTTGTTTCTGAAATCCCACTAAAATATATTAAAGGCATTATGTTTGCTTTTTAAAGACATTAAGCTACAAAGAGAAGAGAAAGATAATATGGCAACTCAGGTTTGAAAGCTATATAGCAGGTGAATCACTTGTAACTGACTTAGTACATCTAAGAAAAGACAAATCCCAAAGGACCAAGGGAAATGGAAAAAGCCTAGTTTGTCACAGAATCCACACAAGGTATAGGAACTAGCAGTATTGAGTACCACTGGAACTCTAGTGAAGGAGAGACAGATCAAAAGCACTAGAGTAAATACTTTGAAAGTTTTTGAAGTTAGATCATTAGATTCTTTTCCATAGATCCAATGTGCCATTTCTGCTGGGCATCAGCCCTTTTCCCAAAAGAGGATTGCAGGACTAGAATATGCCACAATGTTATATGATTAAATGCCTTGTGAATGTAGAAAGGAGTAAGCCCTAGGGATTCTTCTGCTAATATCTTGTCCCTATCACTGAATCATGAGCAGATAGTCAAAGATTATAAGATGTAGAGGAAAACCTTTAACATGGAAAATAGATTACAGCACAAATAGGGGGTGGGAAAAGGACTGTAAGGAAACAGATTATGAAGAAAAAACAAAACATTTTTTTAAGTAAACAATTACTAATTGTTTCCCTAGTTGAAGATTCAGAATCCATTATATAAGGGTAGGATACTGTAGGAAAGGATCACTTAATAAATCTCCTAGAAATTCAAAGCACGATGGCCACAGTATAGATATCAATTGGAGAGCTAAAGGATAAATAGTGAAGGAAAAAAGGTACAAAAATATAAAAAATAAAGATGAGAACATTAGAGGATCAGGGAAATCTAGCATCTGAATAGGAATTTCAGAAAGAATAGAAATAACATGGAGGGCTGGAAATTTATTTTTAATAATGCAAGATTATATCCTGAACTCAAGAATATCAATTGCCAGATAGAAATGACCCAGCAGATGCTTAGGTCATTAGATGAAAATGTACATCACTGATATTTCAGAGCACCAGAGACAAAGAGAAACTTTTTATATGCTTTTCGTTGGGTAGGGTCACTACATTGAATAGAATTACTTGGACTTTTCTCAATAGCAACACTAGAAGTAAGATGATGTAATAGTACTTTGAAAATTTGGAAAAAAAAATAATCCCAACCTACAGTTCTTAAAAGAAAACATTTGCATCTGAGAATAGAATTTGACACGTTTTCATGGTGTTAAAAAATAGCTTTTAATGTCCTATTTCTCATGAACTAATACAGAGTGTGTACTACCAAAATGCAAGAATAATCTCACAAAGGGGAAGACAAGGGCTACAGGAAAACAAAGTTCTAACATAGGAGACAAGCAAAGGGCATTGACAGGAGGATAGTACATGAAAATACCAAAATGTCAGATATGTAACATATGCAATGTGTAGTCCATATTGGTATTAGTGTGGTCTAAGACTCGTTGAGGGTTGTCATTGGTTAGATTACTTGCTAGCATTTTTATCTTTTAACTAAGAGAACAGAATACTAGAGGAGGTCTGGTTTCTTGCCTCTATTCACTCTCTTTAGAACTTCTGTATGCTAATGTTAATTAAGGATATTTAATTTCTTCCACAGAAATGTTATTTTGGGGCTATCCTCAGAATAAAACAACAACAAAAAGGGAATAATTATTTCTGAGGAGGGAGTAAAAAATGAGATTAAGGAGAAGCTTTAAGTCTTAATCTGCACATGTACTTAATGCTATTTTAAACAGTACATATAAATTCTATACACTCTTCAGGATGTGAAAGTTTCATAGTCTAAAGCAGTGAGAAATGTCATTTTCTTAAAACAATAGATGGATATGATGGAGGTATAGTAAAATCATTATAGTACATTATATAAAATCATTTATAGATAGAAAAAATATAGACTATTGTTTGGGCATAAATTAATTTTTCTATTAATAGTATTTCTGTAAAAATAAAAAGTAAGCCAAAAGAAAAACAAAGATAATTCTTCTATCTTTTTACTATAACTACTTAGAAGGTAGGGGGTCTGGTTATTTTGGGGGGTATTTTCCTCAGTGCTGGAACTGTTACTTGTCAAGTGTTGGTGGTCCTTGTAGAAGTGCACCATCTGCTGGTGGAGCTTGACTTTCATTTCATATTAAGCCTTTTAATGAGACTGAAATTAAAAAAAGAACTACTATTGACAGCTAAAAGCCTGCAAGTCTCAGTTGCTTTTCATTTCCTTTCCTCTTGTAAATAACATGTCCATGTTTACTTAGCACATTAGTATGTGGGAAAATTCTGAATGTTAGAATTTCAGGGACTGCTGGTTGTGGTTTACTTGGAGCTGCAATGGTTACACTAGCCCATCCAGGTCAGTGGGACTGGAAGACTTAGGAAGAGCAAAAATTATATCCTTTATATAGGTTCCTTTTATACATCACCACCTGAAAGTCAGTAACACCTGTATTGTTTTCTTTGCCTTAAAACATCTAACAAGTAATGAGCACACATTTGGAAGGAAAAACTGATAAACTGAATTCCTTAAATATTTTCTACCTTCTGTACTAAAATCCACATAAGTTTTACCCAATTCAGTAGTGATAATTGAGCATTTTTTATTTACACTTCTTCAAAGTGTGCTTAAGTTGTATAGTTAAATCTGTAAGCAACCAACAACAAAGAATGCCACAATCAGTGTTTTTAATTTATTTTTAATGAGAAAGACATAACAAGCATATTTGTATACTGCTGTTCAGTAGAGAGTAAAAATATTGTAGGAAAAAGAATTGCTATAATATCTCTGGCTTTGTATACCATTCTATTAATCTTTCTGGAAATTTGTAGTATATACATGGGTATATAATAAAACTTTAAATTTATGTATTTTTAACACAGAACTACTTTGAAAGAACATTTGAGAATCCATAGTGGAGAAAAGCCTCATCTTTGTAGTATTTGTGGACAAAGTTTTCGTCATGGAAGCTCATACAGGTAAGTAAAGCTATTTTTCCCTATGTGAGGTAAGATACAATTACATCTCCATTTTATTTATTTCTTATTATGTTTTTTGTTGAATATTTCTAAACATATGTAAAATTGTATAAAAAGCTTTCTGTTCTCTACAATTTTTAATATTTATTTGCATTTTAAAGGATTTATAAAGAATATTATTAAATGTTTCCTCATTGCCAAATTTACTAAAGGTTTTACTAAGTTATTATTTTAATATTTATTTATTTTTCCTTGAATGAGAATTTATTTGGAACCTTTTTGTTTCAAATTTGGTGTTGTTTGTTTGTTTGTTTGTTTTTTTAAATTTTTTATTTTTTTTATTGGTTGTTCACAACATTACAGAGCTCTTGATGTTTGTTTGTTTTTGCTTATGTTTTTGTTTGCAGTACTAAGGATCCAATCCAGGGCCTTGAGCATGCTAGGCAAATGCTATATCATTGAGTTACATTCCCAGCTCTATTTCTTCATTCTTCATTATACAAGAATATCTTTAGTATAAAAACATGGCAAGTTTAAAACTCTAGAATTCTCAATTTTATGAATGAATCTCTGACCACATTTGAAGTTTATGAAAATGTTTTTCTAGATATATAACTGCTTTTTGGAAATGCTTGTATCATTTTAATTTTATGATTGGTTTCTAGAATTTTAGTCATAAGGCTTTAGTGTTTACACTTTCATTTATTATTTTCCTCTTAAATTTAGACAGATTGTTTTTCCTTTAGATGCAGTCCAGTTAGATTACTGATTTTAGTTATGGTAGAATCAACACTTATTTTGGCAACTTGAATGAGAAAGCTCTTCATTTTACTAGGAGATATATATATGTATATGTATATATACACATATATATATATATATATAAAATGTGTACATATATGTGTATACTGTATATGTGACAAAAGATAAGAGTGTGTGTGTATATATATATATACACACACACATTGTATGTATATATAATAGATTGTAGGGATAGAAGGATTCAAGTTAAATCAATTTTAATAATCGAAACCTTTATAATCTGTGTTTGAATGACTATAAAAGGAGTTCCATTTTCCTCAACTAGTGCAAAGAGTGGTAAAGTGTAATTTTCATAATGTTGAGTTTTTTTATAATACAATAAATTCTGAACTATCAATTTATAAGTGGTATCACTTGTCTTCTGGAATAGTACTAATCTTCAGTTATTTGCTGTGTTATTTGCTATTATTATTATCATGTGTTTAGTCACTTGTACAGTTATTCCATTTGTCTGATTCTATTCCTGTAATATTCCTCCTTTCGATGTTTCTAAGACTTGGCCAGTCAGATAACAACCCCAGATATTTGGTAGATTAATGAAATAGATTTAAAATCTAACATGTTGGGAAGAAATATTATCCAAAAGTGGTTTAAGCATGTGCAAATGTTAAAATGCTTTTTTGGAAGTGGTGAATAGAACCCTGGGGCCAATGAACAGAAGACTGAGAAAGGCTCTGAAAGTCACAGATAAAAGACGAATAGTACCTGAAGGAGATTGGGTAGACAGCCCATTTTTCATTATTTATTCATTTTCAAGTATTTGTCATCTGTTTCAGTGGTCTGCACTTTTTTTTCTTTATAGGCTTCACTTACGAGTACATCATGATGACAAAAGATATGAGTGTGATGAATGTGGAAAAACATTTATTCGTCATGACCACCTTACAAAGCACAAAAAAATACATTCAGGTAGGCTATATTTTGTTTTTCTGTTTTCAGAATTTTTTAATACCTAAAAAGAACATCATATTACATCATGTTTACATTAGCTGTAGTTTTAATAATTAGGTGTATATTAATTACTCCTTTTTAATGCTGATTCTAAAAACCTTTCTGAAAGAAGCATCTAAAAGAGAAGTAATTTTATGACATTCCCTGAAATTTTAATCCTATATTTGGTCACCCTTTGTGACTACAAAGTATAGTTTAAAATTTAATTTTAAACAAATTCTCAAAAAATTTGAATTTGCATATCATGGTGATATGTGGAATTATTGCTATTGTCACATCCCTAACGGAAGAAACTGTGATAATATTTCCCACTTTGATTGTATTTGAGAAATAGTTAGCAAAATTTTGGTGTTTTAAAGGAAAATGATTGTAATTGTTTATGTTATACTAAATTTTGAAAGCATCTTTGGAAAAGAATATTTTAATAATCCCGATCAATTTCAGATCTTTATACTGTATTTATAATTTTTACATTCTGGGGATTTCTTTCATATTTTCCTCTTAGATTGATGTTCAGGAAGTTCTAAGAGAGTCAACTATGTGAGCACAATAATGGGAAAGAGCCATCTCTAAGAGCACAGTAGAACAGGTGATTATTCTAATAAGCATAATTTAAAATATAAAGTATACAACAAATAATAGTTATTTTCTTAAATCATATCAGTGAGGCAGATTGCAGTTATTTTCAATTTTTTGTAATTTTTAGTTTTTTCATAGTTTTTTACTATTGGGGATTGAACCAGGGCACTTGACCACAGAGCTGCATCCCCAGCCCTTTTTTGTATTTTTATTTATAAACAGGTTCTTGCTGAGTTGCTTAGTGCCTCGCTTTTGCTAAGACTGGCTTTGAACTCAAGATCCTCCTGCCTCATCTTCCCTAGCCGCTGGATTACAGATGTGCGCTACCATACCCAGCTGAGATAGTGATTTTTAAAGACCAAGTATTTGTAGCTAAATGTAAAAATAGGAAATCACCTAGGATTTTTCATTACATTTGCATTTTGGCTTATTGCAAAAGTAAGAAATCCCACAGATGAAAATCTTTCAAAAGCAAAGTACAAAGATCTGAAAATGTTCAGGTCCTTTTTATAAATAGTAAAACAGCCTCTCTTCAATGTAATGTATGTTCATTTGAGGTGTTCACATCTAGACATATATATCTATATAAACAACTGAAAAATATCCTGGGTTTTAAAGTAATTTCATTTATTTTGCTCTTTTACATTGAAAGGTAAGATTTGAAATCTATAGCAGAAGGCTGTTAATTTCTTTTCCAAGTGGATAAAGGATTTACATTCGTGAAATTAAATATAGATTCCCTTAGGAAAGATGTTTAAGAAAGGAATATAAAGAAAATAGCCCAGAATAATAGGTGGTTTTACTTTCTTGGTTTATTTCCTAACATGTGATCTTATTGTTTGGCCATTTATTTATGGGGAGGAAAACAAACTGAAATGTATACTATAATCAAAGTATTTGGAACTTTATTTTTAGGTGAAAAGGCTCATCAGTGTGAAGAATGTGGAAAATGTTTTGGTCGTAGGGATCATCTCACTGTTCATTACAAAAGTGTGCACCTTGGTGAGAAAGTGTGGCAAAAGTGAGTGACAAAGTAAAATTTTTCATAATTACTACATAGGCTGAGTCTTGATTGAGGAAGAGTTAGAGCTTTTTGTTTAATTAGGGATAGGTTAATCAGCTGTTTTTTTTCCTAGTTTATCATAGCTTCTTTATAGATCTTAAAGAATTGAACAAGGCATATTTTTTCCTACTTATTTTCACGGAATTGAAGGAGTAAGAGGGGGTAGACATAGACTTTGACTTAAATAATACTCTTTTGGAAATATCTTAGTCCTCACAATTAAATTTTACATTTGAGATTATTTAACTCAAAAATACTCTTAGGCACTATAGTATGCTGCTCACTAAGTTAACTTTTGGGTAATTTATAGTTTTATGTCTATGATAAAAATGAGGGGCAAGTATTTCATTCCTTGAAATTTATTTGATTTATAAGTGCAAATATCAAATATTTATTAAGAAGTGAAATGATGAGAGCATTGTCAACTTTTTGATGAATGTGAATTTTGAGATTGCTGCAGTTTCTAATCAGCCTCAGTATTTGTTTCTTTAATGTTTTAATTTACATAAAGTGAAATTTTCTCTTTTTAGAGAATAGTTCTGTAAGTCATATATCACTACCATCAGAATACAGACTATTTCCATAACCTCAGAATTTATACCCTTTGTATTCAGTTGCTCTTCCCTTTAGCCCACTATTGATCTGTTTTTGTCCTATTAATTTTTTCTTGTATATTTAAATAGCTGATATTAAAAAGTGATTTAAAATAGTTGAAAATCTGAAGGCTTCTTTTTATGGATTTTTGAATATAACTGGAGAAATAAGAACCAGCAACAAGCTCCATACTTAAAAGTATCCATGTTTCTGTAGAGTTCTATGCTTTATTCATTTGATAATTATATGTACAGTTATAAAATTAGAACTTATTTTCATTATTATTAAAAATTACATTGAAAAATGCAAACATTTTTATTTTCTTAGATATAAAGCAACTTTTCATCAATGTGACGTTTGTAAGAAAATTTTTAAAGGAAAATCAAGTCTGGAAATGCATTTTCGGACACATTCAGGTAAGACTTAATGGGTACTTCATATATACTTTGGTGAGGTTATTCAGGAGTAAAATATGCCTATATTTGTTCTTGGTTAAATCATTTTCCTCATTAAGATGTCTACTCATTATATTGGAGTTTATGTGAATAAGCAATATTGTGGTCTTCTAGTCTGTATTCTAAAAGCTTCAGTACTTTTGAATATCATTATTTAGAATTTGGAAAATTATTCTCCTATGTGGCTTATTCTCATCCATACATTGTTTTGCTTATGTAATCCTCAGAGTAGTGATTATATATTTACTTCAACAGTTGTCTTGTTGAAACAGTAATACATTAGTTAAAATTGGCATAAACTGATAGAAATCTGGTATTGGATTTTAGCCTTGATTCATATTTTTAAGTTCAAGGTAAATTGTCTTTATAAGATCTTTGTGCTGTAGTGTAGCATATAAAGTGTACAAATCTTAATGGACAGATCAATGAGTTTTTATAATTAACATGTCAATGTAGCCACCCCTCAGATCAACATATAGAATACTGCCAGGACCCCAGAGGCATCTTCCCTGTCCCCTCCTTGCAGAGATAATGACTATGTTGACTTATATCGATAAAAATCAGTTGTGTCTGTTTGACCCTCATATAAATAGAATTACATGATAAGAACATTTTTTTTTTCAAGATCTGGCTTTCACTCAAAAGTATGTCTGTGAGATACTTTTATGCGAGGTTTATTTTTATTCTCATATTAATATACCCTACTTTATTTTGTCCATTCTACTGTGAAGGAAGCATTGTTTAGTTCTTTGAACAGTCTTGTCCATATTTTTGCATAAACATGCAAAAAAATTAATTATTCTGGTATTATACTTGACCCTGCAATTCCTGGCAACAAGGATAGACATTACTAAACAGGTTTTTAAGACAATTGTGTGCATTTGTACTACCACCAGCAGTGTAAGAATTCTAGTTGCTCCACATTTTCACCAACGTTTCATATTTTGTGTTAGTTCACCTGATGGATATGTAGTACTATTTGAAAGTAGCCTTTATTTGCATTTTTGTGATGAGTAGTGATACTCAAACCTCCTCATATTTTATATGCTTGCTGGCCATTTGAGCATCCACTATTATAATAGATTCTTCTCATTTTCTTAAATCTGTTTTTAAATTCATTTGTAAGAGTTCTTTCTATATTAGTTGTATTAGCCCATTGCTGATTGTATATATTGTAGATATCTTGTTCTACTCTATGACTTATCTTTTCACTTTAGTAATGGTATCTTTCTTTTTTTTGAAAAAAAATTTTTTTTCAGTTGTCTATAGACACTTATTTTTTTTATTTATTTTTATTGGTGCTGAGGATCGAACCCAGTGCCTCATACCTGCCAAGCAACCACTCTACCACTGAGCTACAAACCCATCCCTGGTAATGGTATCTTTCAATGAACAAAGGTTCTGAATTTTAAAGACATCATGTATCTTTTCAAAATTTTTTATATTTATGTTCTTTTCTATTTAAAGAAACTTTTTTATAATATGACTTATTTTATTT